TATAGAGAGAGCATGTGCACATGCACGTGTTCAAGCAGGAAAGGGGCAGAGGGAGGGAGACAATTCCAGTCGGGTCCCATGCCCTGCACAGAGCCCCACGAGGGGCTCAGCTCATGACCACGAGATCATGACCATGAGATCATGACCTGAGCTGAAATCAAGAGTCCAATGCTTAACCGACTGAGCCAACCAGGCACCCAAAGGCTTTTTTTTTTAAATGCAATATATACCAATAAGATATGGACTCTTTTCTCATTCTAAAAAAAGTCAATAAAATTTAAGAAAAAAAAAGCATAAGTACTAAGCAAAGTATGAATTCAAAGGGTAAATCTCCATGTGTCAGAAATTAAGATGGGCCCCACAGTCGGAAAAGCTAAGTGCACAGGTCAAGGGTGAGAAGGACTATGTGGGTAGAGGTTGTAAGTGTAGGAACTACTCCCTGAAAGCCATGGTTTCAGTACTGGTGAGGGTACATGGCCTTGGGCTTTTGAGAACAGATATTTGTAACCACAATCCTTATGGAGGTACGGGAACTCAATCATTCCATAAAAATATATCTGTTTTAAAAACAACCCAGTGTCAAAATGTTAACATGTTACAATGTAAATGGTCAATATGCTAATGGATATGATGTTATTGTTCGCATTTTTTTGTGTGTGCATATGTGAAATATTTCTTAAGGTAAAACAAAGTTTTAAAATTGGTTTTTTTTTCAACGTTTATTTATTTTTGGGACAGAGAGAGACAGAGCATGAAGGGGGGAGGGGCAGAGAGAGAGGGAGACACAGAATCGGAAACAGGCTCCAGGCTCTGAGCCATCCGCCCAGAGCCCGACGCGGGGCTCGAACTCACGGACGGCGAGATCGTGACCTGGCTGAAGTCGGACGCTTAACCGACTGCGCCACCCAGGCGCCCCTAAAACAAAGTTTTAAATAAATAAATAATTTGGGAGATTTTTCATAAGTTAGTTGATATTTCTGGCCCAGACTTTATAGCAAACTACTTACTCAGCTCTCTGCTTGGATATCCATATGATACTTCAAATTCAACAGGCCCAAAACAGTGTTCTTTTGGTTTCTAACCTTCCCCCTCATAACTACAGAATCCTGCCCCATCTCACTTGATCACGTCTCCCCTAATTGCATTGTCCAAAATCTCTGGAGGTATCCTTGACTCCTTTATTTCTCTCACCTCCCATTTTATTCCATCCTTCATTCATCTCCACTAATAACATCCTAGTTTGAGGAACCATCATCGCTCTCCTGGATGATTGCAAAGGCCATTTCTGATGTCATTTCTCTGTTTTCGCTCTTCCTTCCTCCAGTCTATTTTCAACATATTTGCAGAGTTAGCCTTTAAAACTCATGTCAGATATATATTTCCTCGGCCAGAGATGCTGCAGTGGATCCTTATTTTGCCCAAAATAGAAGCCAAATCCCTTACCATGTCACCAAACGCCATAAATAATCACTATTAGTTCTCCGCTCCCTCACTCTGCCCTAGGCACACAGGCTCCTTATCATTCCCTGAACAGGCAGTTGTATTCACTTGAGGGCTCCTGCACTTCCTGTTCCGGTTCTTTCCAGAACCTCCTTGGCTGGTGCTTTCCCCATATTATCTACGTGGCTAATTCCCCCAACTCTTCAAATCTTTGCTCCGATACCCTCACCTTAATTAGGAATTCATGGTCTCCCTACTTTAATTAGCAACCCACCATCCCTAAATCCCTGATGCCTCATGCCTTATCTACTTTATTTTCCATAGGATTGATTACCTTTTTACAGATTATGTTTAGTTTGACCAACCCTTTCCTGTGTGCCTGAAACCTGAGCTTTCCCAAAATGTGGGACTTTCAGTACTAAAGCTGGAAAAGTTTCCAGCACACTGGGACAAGTTGATCATCTCATTTTATGTTTTTAAGTCTATTTGTTACCACCACCCCAATAGAGCAAGAGGTCTACGAGGGCAGAAATCTGTGTATACGTTGCATGGCATGCATCAGTCAGTGCTCAATAAATCTTCACTGAATGGGAGAGTGGATGGATGGATGGATAATGGGAAAGGAATGGAGAGCATCAGAATAAAACTGAGAACGAACATCAAACCAAAGCTATATGGACATTTTCATGGCAATAAGGGATATCGTTAACAGATGGCATGTAGATTTTATATTTAAGGGAGGCATGGTTTACTTGTATATCCAGCTTTCTGTTTGTTTTTATACAGCTAGCGGTAAATCCCAGAGACCACCGGTTTCAGAGAAACTTGGATTACCTTTCGAAGGCACAGCGCCCACCATAGAAGACAACATACAGCGGGTTGTCGGAAGCACAAGAAGGAAAAATCAAGACTCTATGAGGTGGTTAGATGCATTGATCATCTTGACTTTGAGTATGATTGCATAATGTATGTGTACCTCGAACCGTAACGTTGTCTACTTCAAATACATACAACTACATTTGCCAACTATTCCTCAGGAAAGTTAACAAAGGAAAACAAAAGAAAGAAAATTGTGACCAGTGAGGCCATGAGTCATGCGGAAAAGAGTCGCCTAGAGAAATAGAAGCGTGCACGTGGGTGCCATTTACTGGCTAACCACGCAGTCTGGCTGTCTGGTTAGCGTGGGAAGTGATACCCGTATGGAGGAGGAAGACTTCAACCCAATTTAAAGTCCCTGAAAGAAAAAGAAAAAGTAGACTCGAAATGTGGGTTGCTTCCTGTGCTCACACAATGAGCAGAACAGAAGAGAAGACTAACTGGAATAGAGTTAGGCATGACGAAACCCAAAAAAGACAGGAGAAAAAGGCCTGGGAATGAGATGAGGCTTCCGGTCTTGTGGTCATCAAAGCGTGGCTCATCTATCACTGGCATTGTCATCATCACCACAATGCAGATTTCTGGTACCCAGGCAAGGCAGAGTGGATTTAAATGACTGTGATTTGACTCAGCCTATCAGCATTTTTAAAAAATTTTTTATTGTTTCTTTATTTTTGAGAGACAGAGAGACAGAGCATGAGCATGGGAGGGGCAGAGAGAAGGGGAGACACAGAATCTGAAGCGGGCTCCAGGCTCCGAGCCGTCAGCACAGAGCCCCACGCGGGGCTCAAACTCACAAACCATGAGATCATGACCTGAGCCGAAGTCGGACGCTTAACCGACTGAGCCACCCAGGTGCCCCCATACCGTTTATCAGCATTTTTAACCTGATGCCAGTGTGGTTCTTAAAATGGGAGAACTATAGTTACGAGCTCATTAACTTCTCAGTGAGAAAAGATTGATAAACTCATTACGAAATGTATACTGCTCTCAGCTCTTTATGTGCCAAGGTAAATTAAGAAATAACTCTGTATTTTATTTACGTGCACTGTTATCTTGGTTATTCAACGTTAATTGTTTTTATTGTTTAAAGTGTCTGAATTTGAGGGGCGCCTGGGTGGCTCGGTCGGTTAAGCGTCCGACTTCGGCTCAGGTCACGATCTCACGGTCCGTGAGTTCGAGCCCCGCGTCGGGCTCTGTGCTGACGGCTCGGAGCCTGGAGCCCGTTTCAGATTCTGTGTCTCCCTCTCTCTCTCTGCCCCTCCCCTGTTCATGCTCTGTCTCTCTCTGTCTCAAAAATAAATAAACGTTAAAAAAAATTTTTTTTTAAATGTCTGAATTTGAAGAATCTTTTTAAAATTACAATACAGAGGTACCTGAACTAAATGATCCAGTAACTGGGGATGGGAGGCGCCCAAATTCTTTATTATGTTCGCCAGACAACAAACTGAATATTATGTGACTCCCAGGTACACGGTTGGGAAAGTCAGCTCTACCATGACAGATATCCTGAGGGCGGAGGGAGCTTAGTGAACAGGGCTCACCTCCAGTTTTGTTATACAGCTCACGACACAGTTTTTCAGCCACGCGCTGCAGAATTTCTGCAAGCTTCCTGTTCTTTGTCTGGAGAGACTGCAGCTGTCGGGAGAGATTCGCCAATCTTTCTTCCTTGTTAGAAATGCTGTCTTGCTGAGTGTTGGCAAGCTGGTAGAACTGGAAAACTAACCCGAGTTACCAAGTCAGACTGGACGGCTGGTTTCTTCATTTCTACTTCCCCTTTTTACATATGGGGAAGAAAAAACCTTGTGCTGTTTAAGATCTCATGCTTTGAGCTTTCCTAGCGCGTGCATTCAAGTTTGAACTGCAGTACACAATACATTGCATTGTCTCAAGCAGTTTAATTTCTCAAACTCCGTCTTTTGATCTGACAGTGTAGAATCATAATAACGGTTTCTAACTTCAGGACTAAAATCTTCAACCCATATTCACTACTCAATAAATATTTTGTGCATACGCTTATAGCACTGCTTAACCTGAAACCACAAATCCACTCATCTAATGATTAGTATGTTGACTATGGACAATCAGCATATATTGTTATCTCATTCAGTCATTAAAGTAGTCCTATTATCATTTCCATAGTTTTATGGATTCCCACTGGGCTCAGTGAGAACAAGCAACATCCTTAATATCTCTTGTCTAGAAAATTTCAACCAACCCTTAGGCTTAAACTCCAGATTTCAGATTTCTAAATCTAAGTAGAAAAGTCCTTCATGAATCATGAAAGTTGCTTCATATCCTTAAAAGTCATGGCGGTCATGAAACAAATTATATCAAAATGAATTAAAACTTTGGAGGCCATGGTAGAAAGAGAAATATATATTTTTTTAATTTTAAAAACTTACGATGCCTTGAACCACCTTCTTCGACTGCTCAGGAAATGTTTACTATAGGGTCTCAATCTCACGAAGCAAATTCACCCACTTCGTTTTTTTAGTTTTTGAACTTGTCCTTCCTGGTTTGAAATTTCAAGACTTTTCCACACGCATGTTTCCTTGTTTGGTTTTCACAAGATTTTGCAAAATGATTCTATAACTTCCTGGGCTTTCTGAAAAATACTGTGGTCATTAAGGACCTAGTCTGTCCTCCTTATATTGAGGGGGTAGACATCAATGAAATCTCTTCCCTCTGTATTAGCCTGCTGAGTCATACATACTAAGAGCAAAAACCACTGCCTCTACTCTTTTGTAGGATAAAAGAGGGTTAAACCATGCATGCATTAAAAATTGCTGATTTTAAATATCGGCATGGAAACGGACAAAACCCTGCTCGATCTCACACAGAATGTAAAAGTCTAGCTGGCAAGCGACTGCTGCATCTTAATGCTTCTTTCACTACTCATCATTTACATGGGTGCTTTAGAATAAGGTACACTGAAGTACCCATGGGGTTGGGGTTAGGGTTAGGGTTAGAGTTAAAGTAAAAAAAAAAATTCATAAAAGTATTTCTCATCCCAGACAACCCTTAGAACCAAGATCCTCCCCCCAAGTCAGAGCGCAGACTTACACACAAGCCCCAGGGCCAACAGGCCAAGCAGCAGCACCAAACACAGAGTCAGCAAGGTCAGGGCCACTGGACGCCAAACTGAAGAGGGAGGCCGGTGCCCTGCAGGGAACAAAGGAAAAGGCAGGATTTCGCTTTTTGTTCCTCGGGATCTCTGCCACCAGCGGGCAAGTGAGAAGAGCTGGTTCTGGGAAGGAACCCCTTCTGCAGGAAAACAGTAACCAGGGGCTAGATAACATGCCCTCCATCCTCAGGAATGCTGTTAAAAGGCTCACTGCCAAGCCTCACTTACACAGCGGGAATCCTTCACCGGCCCCACTGAGTTCCGCCGCCCTGCCCCCGCCCCCGGTCTACTTTGCGCTGCATCGAGCAAAGCATTGCCAGTATCTTTGTAAGTTGGTTTGTGTAACCTTCTTTTTGCCAAAATCCGAGTTATGAAAGACATGGAACTGCCTCAGCGAGGAACTGTTGTTCACACCAGCAGAGGAGAGGTGAAATTAGCGTGCCGTTACTTTCGCGACTCATCGCCCCCCCCCTCCCCGTTCCGCATCGTGTTTCTTCTGAAAAGCAAATTGCGTATGACTAATGAGAAGTGATCATTTTACTGTTTGCTTTTGGGGATTTCTTTGTTGAAAGCCGCTTTCCTGTAAGGATTGTGTTCGTTCACTTCATTTGTATCTCCGTCAAAATGGACCGTCAAGAAACGTGATCATCAGGGGCTCAAGGATGGATCTAAGCTATCTCAATTTAGAACAGTTAAATAATAAATGCTGCACCCCCACAGTCGTGCTTTGTGGTAATCGCAGAGGAGCTACTGAGTCGACAGGGAACCCGTCACCTGCTGAGGCTAGCTCTGGATCGGAATGACCTGTGTGGTATCCTACAAGGAAGTCGCTGCCCCCACCCCCGAACGTGTGGCATCTAGCATGGTGATTAAAATGAACAAAGAGGGGCGCCTGGGTGGCGCAGTCGGTTAAGCGTCCGACTTCAGCCAGGTCACGATCTCGCGGTCCGGGAGTTCGAGCCCCGCGTCAGGCTCTGGGCTGATGGCTCGGAGCCTGGAGCCTGCTTCAGATTCTGTGTCTCCCTCTCTCTCTGCCCCTCGCCCGTTCATGCTCTGTCTCTCTCTGTCCCAAAAATAAATAAACGTTAAGAAAAAAATAATAAAAAATTTTAAAAACTAAAAAATTAAAAATGAAAAAAATTAAATTGGATTATGTTATTTCCCCACCTAAAAGCTTCCAATAGCTTTTTTGCACTTAAAATAAAATTCTACAAGAGTCTTGTTCTTCCGGGCCCTACCTAGTTCTTTCATTCTTTTCTGAACTACTCTCCCCTCATTCAAAGATTCTACACACAGTGGCCTCTGTTTAACCTTGAAACAAACTTGTCCTTTGTGTTAACCTGTGTTAGTTCTGCCTCTGCTCCTGCATAATTAATTAGCAGGCTACTCCCTGCTCCTCAACTTTCCATTTAAATGATGCACCCTTGGAAGAGGTCCAGGAGCTCATTTCTTTTTTAAGTTTAGGTATTTATTTTGAGAGAGACGGAGGGTAAGCAGGGGAGGGGCAGAGAGAGAGAGATAATCCCAAGCAGGCTCTGCAAGGTCAGCACAGAGCCTGAGGGGGGGCTTACACTCCCCAACAGGGAGATCATGACCTAAGCCAAAATCAAGAGTCAGACGCTTAGTCGATTGAGCCACCCAGGCACCCTAAACATTGTTGATTTTTAAAAATCTATTGCGTTTTCAGCCATATTTCTGACAGCAGAAGGTGGACTCAGCTAAATTCATCTTCTAGCCATACTGGTTTCTATTCACTGACTTGTGTGAGATTCTGAATCACGAACAGATATTGGAGAGATGTGCTTTCTTCCCCATTTCCTTTGATTAACTGGCCTATGTGATTTGGCCTAAATTTTCCTGGAAATTGTTGGACTGTCAAGGCATTGACTTAAGAGTATCTCAAATCAACAGAACATAAAAGAACGAGATCAGAAGCCAGAATATAGCTGATGCTCAACATCCTCTCCAAACCCTAAGTCTTTTTAAAGTTCCTTATGGCCAAAAAAACCTTAAATAGGTGGATATTTCTGGATTCCAGAGGTACTAGCCCATATGTGCACCCACCACCATGATGGCTTTATTTTTCTCTATATATCTTAATACTATCAAATATATTATATATCTTACTCGTTTCTGTCGGTTTATATCTGTCTTACCCCAATAGAAAGTAAGCTCCTTTTTGAAGAAGATTATTGTCTATTTAGTTACTAGAAAAACATCAGTTCTAGCACCTAGAACATCAGGTGAAATCAGCTCAATTAATGTGGAAGGAAGGAAGGAAGGAAGGAAGGAAGGAAGGAAGGAAGGTGCAGATTATATATAAATATCTGTCATATACCTATCTACTCCTGCTGAAACCTATTTATATTAATACACTCTGAAAGGCATAAACTATTTCTTAAATGCTGTTCCTTTTTTATGACTAATATTTCCCTGGTCCAAATTATAAATAATAAGAAGGTAAACAGAAAGAAAAACTATAGAAATCAACCAAACTAGGGGCACCTGGGTGGCTCAGTTGGTTAAGCACCCAACTTCGGCTCAGGTCATGATCTCGCGGTTCGTGAGTTCAAGCCCCGCGTCAGGCTCTGTGCTGACAGCTTGGAGCCTGGAGCCTGTTTCCGATTCTGTGTCTCCCCCTCTCTCTCTCTGACCCTCCCCCGTTCATGCTGTCTCTCTCTGTCTCAAAAATAAATA